GGGATAACAGTTGTATGAGCCCCTAATAAAATGTTAAAAAAGAAAACATTAATAAAAAAGAATAAAAGGAAAAAAAAAAAGGTTAATGCTGATTTAGCTTCACCATGATCTAAAGGATAGGGGCTGATCAAATTTCAAAGTATTTTAGAGGTACTGCTTTTTTAAAAAAATCATTTTATTGGGGGCTTATACAACTCTTATCACAATTAATCTATCCATCCATTGTATATTAGGCACATTGACGATTGGTATAAAACTCTGAATAAATCTGTAAATACCAACTCATTGTGACCCTATCAGATAGGGTAGACCTGCCCATGTGGGTTTCCTAGGTTATAATCTGCATGAGCCGATCACCAGTTCTTTTCTGCCATAGAGCAGCTAGTGGAATCGAACTGTTGGCCTTTCATTTAGCAGCTGAGCACCTAACCACTTTGCCACCGGGGCTCTAGTAATGTTCTCGGCCAGGGGTTTAGCCTGGTTCTGATCACATGCTTGAGTGACAGGCTGGGCCCTGGAGATGTGGTCTTTAGGGCCCCTGGTTATAGTCTGCAGTGTAGAAGGTGGGCACAGGCCCACAGTCACATGGGCGGTGCCTGACCAGAGACCCTGGGCCTGCAGGCTGGGCTTGGGCAGTACTGGGAGGAAGGTGCTCCTCTGCAGAGACCTGGACTGTCCCAGTGGTCACTGAGACCCAGGCCTCATGGGGACGATCAGGCCAGCCTCTGTGTCTTCGAGGGGCTGCATGTTGCCCTTTGCCACCTCGGCGTGGGCCCCTGGCCTCCCTCAGGGTGACGACTGCTCCCAAACCTGCTTCCTCTGCTCTCTCCCAGGCCTATGATTGAGCTCTGCATCCCCTCTGCGCTGGACCCCACCCTGGCTCCCCCTGGCTGCCACGTGGTCTCCCTCTTCACTCAGTATACTCCGTACTCACTGGCTGGAGGCAAGGCGTGGGGTGAGCAGGAGAGAGACGCATACGCCGACAAAGGTGAGGAGCGCTGGCCGGTCTGGTCCTCCAAGCAACAGGCAGATGGGCAACCCCACCCTCCTGGACTGCCCCATGCAGATGTCCCAGGGCGAGAGAAATGCCCAAGGGGACCTCAAGTCTGCAAGGTCAACGAGCAAACTCACTAACTCACTGTCTGCAGGGCTCGGGCACTGCCCCTAAGCTTGCCCACAGTCTAGTAGGGGGTGGGGATGGCTAATAAAGAAACCAGTAATTCCAGCACAACATACAGTGTGAACTGAAGTGGAAGGCTGGGAGTCAGAGAGGGAAGAAGTTTTTCCAAAGAAAGCATCCTTTAAGCTGGGTTTTCAAGGCTGACTAGGAGTTAGCCAAATAGGAAAGTGTATTTCAAGCAGAGGGGACAGCTTTCAAAAAGCAGTGGAAGTGACCAGAGCTTTGCACGTTCAAAGGGAGACAAGCACCTTCGTGTTCAGGCTTAGGGTAGATGGTTGGAGAGGCATACAGGGCAGGCCTGGCCTAAGACCCATTGGCCTTTGTGAGAAACGATTTGTGTATGGATGGTTTTGCTTATTTTGTTTTGTTTTAACTTTGCTGAGATAGCATTTACGTCTGATGAAATGCTAACTACAAGGTCAGCAGTTCAAAACCACCAGTGGCTCTGAGGGAGAAAAATGAGGCTTTCTACTCCCGTCAAGAATTATCATCTCGGAAATCCACAGGGGCAGTTCTACCCTGTCCTGTGGGGTGGCTAAGAGGGATGGCAGGGAGTCTGGTTTGGGTCTTTCGGAGTCCAGTTACACAGTAGGCCTGTGGCCTGTCTTTGTGGCGTCTCGAGGTCTTTATCTCACTTCGCTGCTGTTCGGTCCCCAGTGTTTGACTGCATTGAGGCCTATGCCCCCGGCTTCAAGGGCTCCGTGGTGGGCAGAGACATCCTCACGCCCCCGGATTTGGAGAAGATCTTTGGGCTGCCTGGAGGGGTGAGTGAGCCTGGACATTGCTTCCCCGCCCTGCGTACTTCTCACTGAGCCACTCCGCCCTGGCCGGGACCCTTCAGCTTTCCGCCGGTCCCAGGACACAAACAGCGCCAGAGCCCACCTCCTTGCTCTTATTGCTGGTGTCCAGTACCCTCGGGTCAGTTCCAGCCCATAGCCACCCGGCCAACAACAGAAACTAACACTGACCATCCCGACCACTGTCCTTCCTTTGACCCCATTGCTGCAGCCACTGTGTCAATCCATCTCGTCCGGTCTTTTTTGCTGCCCGTCTGCTTTGCCAAGAAAGGCTCTCAGGCCTGGGCCAGAGGGGAGTGAGATGCAGCCACCAGATGGACAACACTGGCTGAGAAGGCCACCTGGCTGGTAGATCTTCTGCCTGACCACCCACGTCAGCCTCTCCCATCACACCTGAGGGAGCCCTCATTTACTTACTGAGATGGGAGGCAGGGCCCCACACCAAGTTACTACCACTCATGACTGCTGGTCACTGACAGTGTGGCCGGTCCTAGGGGAGTGATGCTGAGAGTGAAAAGTGTGCACGACTCCTAGCGGCCCTGCAGGAGGGGATGGAACTGCTCTTGTGAGTTTGCAGTGCCGTAAGCCTTGGCAGGAGCAGGAAGCCTCATCTTTGTCACATGGAGCGGCCGGTGGGTTAGAACCACTGACCTTGAGGTTAACCGCCTAATGTGTAATCTCAATTCACTATCAAAACGATACTATTTTAGTTATGTTGTGTAAAACATCACAATGAACACCAGCCAATGTCTTTTTTTACTTTTTAATGTGTCTAGGCATCCTGGAGGCTTTTGGCTATATGCTGGGCTTCTAACCTCGACGTCGTCAGTAGTTCGAAACCACCAGCCGCTCCTCAGGAGAAAGCCAGGGCTTCCTACTCCCATAAAGAGTTACAGTCTCGGAAACTCACAGGGCAGTTCTACCCTGTCCTATAGGGTCGCTGTGAGTTGGCATTGACCCTGCGGCAGGGAGTTGTTGAAACTCTGCATGTTATATCCCGTGGGTAGTCTGGGGCAGATACAGAGTTCTGCAGGCCAGGCACAGGGAGTGGAAAGGATGGGTGGGCATGAGGCCAGGTGGGTTGAGTGTACTTGGCACCCAGGTGGACGTAGAGGCCTGAATGAAGGGTCCGAAGAGAAGGTGGCCTCGTCCCCCCTTCTCTGCCTGGGCTGGACTGACACAGGCCAGTGGAAAGGAAAAGAGCAGGCTTGAGGAAGCGGATGAGCTCGGGTGGGGACACTCTCAGGGGGCAGCCAGAAGGTCCTCACCGTGGTGGCCCAACTCAAGCCCCTTTCTGCATTTACTGTGACCCCGCTGGCCCTTTGGCCCCTGGATCCTGTCTCAAACTGGTGTCTTGGTCAAAGGAACATGTCCCAGCCACCCAAGAAGCCAAAGCCTTCAGTGTTTCAAAGGCAGGGAGAAGGATGCCGTGTGCACCTCAAACCCTCTTAAACCCCCTTCTCTCTCCTGAAAGTCTGTTTCCTCACCCTCTGCCGATGCTCCCGCCCCTATCTCTGGGCAACAGCAGCCTCTGTCCTAGGGCCTGTGCCCTTCTCCCGCCCCTGCCCTCCCTGCATCTTATTGACAACAGAGGAGACATCCCCCGGAGAGAAAGACCTTCCTGGGAGGATGGGGGAAGGAGGAAAGCCACAGAGAACAGCCACTTTAGGGCAACATAGGTTGTAAAACTCCTACATTAACCACGGCGGCCCTGCCTCCCACAGAACATATTCCACGGTGCCATGTCCCTGGACCAGCTGTACTTTGCCCGCCCCTTGCCCCTGCACTCCAGCTATCGCTGCCCCCTCCCAGGCCTGTATCTCTGTGGAAGTGGGGCCCATCCTGGTGAGTGGCCCGGAATCCCACTACCTTGGGTGGAGGGGAGAGGGCTGGCTGAAGGGGAGAGGCTAAGGGACAGGGAGTGGGGCAAACCACAACTGTGTGGGGTGGGGGTGGGGGGTAGGGATGTGGAATAGAGAAAGGAGAGCATGGAAGTCCCACCAGGACATCCCACAGCCTCATGGTGAGAATGCTCGGATGCAGGTAAACAAAGAATGACAGCCTGAGCCAGGCTGGTCACAGCCCCCAGTTGCGCTCACACCTCCTCCTGAGGTTTGAGGACATGACCTGTTGGAGACATCTCACTAAATGCCAATATCGGGTAATGAGGGACCTGAGTCCCTGCATTCCCTATCCAGAGTTAGACCGGTGTTCGCCTGTGGCTTTGAGGAGCCATCTAGTTAGTCAGCAGCCACTCATAGCCACTCAAAGCTACCAGAGAACAAAACCATCCTCACAATCGTTTGAGCCCACCAGGACAGCCCTGTGTCAATCCATCTGGCTGAGGGTCTCCCTCTGTTTCACTGCCCCTCCATTTCACCACGTGTGAGGTCTGCCTCCATAACATGTCTAACGGTGAGATGAAGCCTCACCACCCTCCTCTCTGAGGAGCATTCTGACTGCTTCCTCCAAGACAGCTTTGTTCCTTCTGCTGGTAGTCCATGGCTTATTCGATAATCTTCTCCAGAGCAGTCAAGAGCAATGAAGATAAGGTTCCCAGTATTCAAATTCCTCCCCCGCACCAATCCAAGCCCAACCGGCCTCCCCACGCTAACTCTGAGTACTGCCCTTTCTCGGCACGCTGTGGATCTCGGCCTCCCAGGAGACGTCCGAGGCTCCACCCCTTCCCCCTCAAAGCCTTGTCCTCTCATTTCACACACTCAGAGTCTCCCCGGCTAGAACACTTGCTCTCAGACTTTGAAGCGCTTCTGTGAACTGGGGGCCTGGCCCCCTCCCCCAGAGAACTGGTGCAGGAAGCTTGGGGGTGGGGGGTCCCATTGGCTATCAGTGGGGCCGTGGCCCTGAGCATCACCCCATTCTGGTTTGCTCTGGGTTTGAGCAGGGCTTGGGCTCATGGCAGGTTCCTCTCCAGGAGGGGGTGTCATGGGGGCTGCCGGACGCAATGCAGCCCACGTGGTCTTTGGAGACCTCAAGAGACTGTGACCCTGAGCCAACTCCAACCCAGGGACAAGTTGTGCCGGTTCCCCGTTGAGCTTTTCAGGCCTCCATTGGGTCAACTTCCCAGAAAGCTTTGCTCCGAAGCGTATTTCTTGACGCAGCCAAGTCCTCGAATCCTTTCAGAAAGAATGGACAAGTTACCCCGAGTGCAAGTTCACCGGGCGGCCTTGTCTCCACGAATCAACTGGCTCTGTCTTATTAAAAATACTATTTTCTACAGATTGTCTATACATATGTTTTCTCCTGTGTGTTAAACGGACTCTATGGGTTGGAGTGTGTGGTACAAACTCTGAATGCACTTGGTAGCTCATTGAAAGGCTGGGGGTTCAAATCCACCCAGAAATGCCTCCCAAGAAAGAGCTGGGATCTACTTCCAGAAAACTGGGTCTTCCTTCAACGGTGACACGCACAGGTCGGCCACTACTCAGAATTGACTCAATGACAGTTGGGTTTTTGTTTGTTTGTTTGTTTGTTTTACTGGTTACATAAACTTGTCTGGGGGCTCTGTGTGCTCCAGGACTGCTAACCAGTTCAAACTGGTCCAGTCATGGCCGACAGAGTGAAATGTGAACATCGCCGAACATTTCAAATTGGGTGAAGCAGAATGAGAACCAGAACGGACCGACTTGTGAGTCAGCACCCTGCAATGGGGGCCTTGGGAGAGGCAGAGGGAGTCCTTTCAGGGGCCTGAGGTGGGAGCTTGGATTATTGCCAGCACTGTGGAGGGCGACGCGTATTCCAAGTGGGTGATTAGCCAACATCTTTGGTTGGGGCACCATTGTTTCCCACCGGGCTGATCAAGAGCTGTGGATGCCATGCAGTGCACATGCTGCCCCTGCTTCCTATGAGCCAGCCAGTTGACGTTTCTAGAAGGACATTGGCCTGATATTTTTCCCATTCTGGTTACTGTTCTGGTCTGTCCCAGTTTTGTTTTATGGGCCATGACTGAACCAGGAAGAAGGTATTCCGCCCATTTAACCAATGGAAGAGTCCCATACAAACAGCCCGAGGGCCTCAGGATTGCTCTGTTGAGGACGAATCCCTACATCCGTGAACCCTCTCAGCATAGGCCAGTGTTATTCTACAGCAAGTGCAGGTTGTCGCTTCTGTTCAGAAAGGATCGAACCAAAGGCTCCATGGTACGGCAAGTCTCTCAGGCAACCTCTGCAGCTCCAGCAACCGAAGCCACTGTCCGGAGCAAGCCTGTCCCTGGAGCATCGCCTCCTGCCTGCCCCTAGGGTTGCTGATAGCTGATAGCTGATAAGCCACATCTTTACAGTGCTCCCTCGGTGTGGAACTCAATGCGTTCCAAATTCAGGTTCAAACACCGAAAAGTTTGAGAACAGAACATATTCTTCCCGTAAAAAATCATGGAAAACCAAATAATTGGTTCTGAGACCCCCAAACCACACTTATAAATCCATTTTTCCACAACTGTGATTCACCACGGAGCCGTTTAGCCTTCTGGCATACCGCTGTCTCAGATCTGCTACGCCATGGACTTGCTTCCGATTTATCCAAATTAACAGCCACTTTTCGACCCTTTCCAAGGTCTGGGTTCTTTGTTTCGGAGTTAACAATTTCACACCTTTCGCTACATTAGCCGCTCTAATCATATCCCCACCCCCGCAAACTGTTAATAACGTCAATTTAGCCTCGTTTTATTCAGCTGCCAAATCAGATTAACGGTGACGTGAGTCCCAGTCTGCAACGGTGGCTTTCTCCAACCGCTCCGTGTGCTCACACCCGGCCTCTGCCTTCACTGCTGGAACCCTACCTTTCTTTGGGGCATGGTTACAGTAGTTTATGCAGACCACAAATAAAAAGCACCAAGACGAGTGTGTATCGTCTGCACTGCGTGTAGTCTGCACTGTGTGTCGTCTGTGTGTGTTGTCTGCACTGTGTGTTGTCTGCACTGTGTGTCATCTGCACTGTGTGTCGTCTGCACTGTGTGTTGTCTGTGTGT